CTACTTTGTGGAAGCCCCCCCTGCCCCCTCGGATAGCTCCCACTGGGCGTCTTGGTCCAGTTGTTGGTTACTGGTGCCTCCCTCCAGGTATCTGTTGCTCCTGGCGACGGCTTGGTTGCCTTGCCATTGTGCTTGGGGTGTCGTGGTGCTTTGTTTCCCCTCTTCGTTGTGTCTCGTGGCAGCAAAGGCCTAGGGCCCTGTGTGGGGATTTATCCCTCTACACCACGTTGCATGCGCTGCTGGGGTTCTCTGTGTTCCGTCACTGAGGTATTCATCTGCGTATGCTCCGCTAAGGCACTCTTGTATCCCCTCTGGTACATTTGTGTCCTTCCTCTGTCTGTCCTCTGCTGCCTCCTGGCTCCTCTCCTTCTCTCTTCTTTGGTGTTTTCGCGTGTGTGTGCGTGTGTTTCTGCCCTGCCCCGCTATGCTTCCCCCCTGTACTGGCCTGTTTGGTTTGCTGGTTCGATTGTCACTAAGGATTCCGAAATACTATTTGCTTAGATGTGCTACTAAGGTCGCCATGTGTCGGCTTGCTGTGACTAAGGATTTGCCTGCTTTACGGTGGCTTCTGGCTGCATCTTGTCCTCTACTTACTTGAATTCGGTTGGTACGGTTGTTGCTTTTGGTTTTTTGTCTGGCTTCTTCCTCGGGGTGGGCCTCTCTCTTTCTGGTGATTTCTGTTGTTTTTTCCGAGAGGGGCGGTAGATACCCGGTTAGAGCCATGGACTGGGCTGCACTGCAGCGAGCTTTATTGGCGCTGTCCAGTGGAGCTCTCTGCAGTTCAGTCTCGAGCGCCCGCGAGCAGCAAAGTCTGCCAACATGGTTCGGTGCGTTGATGGGACGTAGTGATTCTGCTAATGGCCCACTCTAGGGGAGAGTGGCCCTATGTGAGATGCACTGCGAACCTCTGGAACATCTGACTTGCTGCAGGTTTTTGCTGGGACGATGACACCTTGTGAATCCTGCTAGTCAATCTGGTGCTGGTACAGCGAACCTAGTCACCCTTTCAAGTTTGTGGCTTGAGCACGACTGCCATGCGAGAGCGGCGCAATTGTGTACAGGTCGCTAGTAGCAATCTTTCTTTGCTTGAGCCTACCCTCTGCACGAGCATATCTTATTCATCTGCAATGACCTTACGGAGAGAATCAGTATTTTGCGGAAATCGTGTACCATTGGCACCTTTCCAGGTCCCCTTGGTTTCCTACGGTATGACGGCATCTGTGATGAGTTACAGTTATAGTCTTGCATGACCTACAGGCTGTCAATACCTACCCCCCCTTGAGGGGGGTATTGAGTCACATCGCTATTGCGGCAGTATCTTACTCCAGAGACAGGATTCCGACTACGCTGACCATTACAGGACCAACATTGACAATGAGAATGGCAATGGGCACCAGCTGTGCTATACAGCTACTTCTGATTTGCCAAATTTTCTGAGAGCTTGCGTGACAGTCAAGGCGGTTTCTGGATGCTGACAGTTCTCGCACGTGGATGACGTTAGATGAACTGCCGCAATAGATAATTAGTTTGCATGTTTCTAAAAGTGATACTGTTGAATCATTTCAGTATCACATGGCAAATCTAAGTTGGGTGTTTTTTGTTGGGCCTTGCCCCGTTTTGGTGTTGTTTCGCTGTGTTGTTTTGTGGCGAAACGCAAATCTGGCTGGGGGATTTGCGGGTCGCTTTGGTTTTTGGTGTGTCGTGTTCTTGGTTTGAACTGATTTGCCATTCTTACGGGCCATACGTGTCCATTTTTGTTTTGTTCTCAGATTTTCACTGCTTACGCAATTGTAAGGACCGAGCCTAGTGCAATATCGGCCACGCCAGAGGGGAAAAAAAAAGAAGCAGGCTTGTCGCCAAACACTAAAGTCTTTGGCTGCTGAATGTCTTGTTGGCGTTCGTTTGGGCTGCTGAATTTCTTGACTCCTGTCTGCGTGGACTGATTGTTTTGGTTCCTTGCATTTGGTGCAGGTGGCTGTTTGTTTTGGACAGATGTCGTTGACACACTTCCTAGATCTGGGTTGGTGGGTTGGTGCCTAGAAAGTGTATTTTTTGCTGATGAACACACAATTTTTATCCCGCACCCGCTGTCAATTTGGGAATAGACCGAGAGGGGACAGCGAAAAGCCAAGACGGTCAACAAAAAAGAAGATTGGCTCATATAAAGCGTAAATTTGCAACGGCCCTTTCAATGAAGGTGAAACCTGTTTAAAAATGTGGCATTCATGTGCATTTGCTCCAATTTCAGCCGTCGAGGCTTGCCTCGAAAATTCTCCCTTATCCTTGCATTTTTTGTTTTGTTGCAATTTCTATAGCCTCGAGGCTGCCTCCAAGCCTGCTTTGAAGCCTGCCACCAGACTCATCCTGAAAGATTGTTTTTTTCCTCCCAGTTCGCATGGTCGAGAACCGGAGTTGCAACAGAGGATACAAATGCCTTTTTCCCGTCTTGGAGAAAGCGCGCTGTTTTGCGCTAACTTTGCTGTCGCCCCTGCGGGTTTGATTTGCTTGGCATGTGCAATACTTCTGGCAGTCACGGTGTGAAAACTGACAACGTTTAGTGCAGATTTTGGTGGCAGGTGCGGTATTTACGGCGTGTGTGACACTGAACCTACAGAGGGTGAGCGTTTAGTGCGACAGTTGTGGCACTACGCGCCTTTTACGTGTTTGTGTTTTTGTTGTTTGTTTTCTGTTTGTGTTTGGTGCTGTTTTTGGTCTTTGTTTCTTTGTTTCTTGGTGTTTTGCCTGGTTTTCTTGATGAGCGTGACAGTGCATAGGACTATGTATCGGTCCTCCACCAGTTTACTTTTGCGGCCACTACAGCAATGGCCTTTGCGTGACTTAATTAATCAATTAATCCTAATTGCAACATGCTCTCAAACGTGTTGAACGACCTGGCGGAAGCCATGAAGGCGTTGGACGGAAAAAAAAGGCACTACGCGCCTTTTACCGTGGAAAAAACCAGCAAAACAGGTCCAGCGTGTAGCGTGTAGTGACTCTTTTTCTAAACTATATTGATCTTTAAAGAAATAATTACAACCGAACGCCAGGAAACGGCGAAAATGTGTCTCCGGCCACAGCGCGGAGCGTTTAGTGGGGTACTACACGCCCAAACGGTCGCATCTAAAAATCGCTGTTTTACCACAGTGCGAAGCGTTTAGTGCCGATCTTACTGGCAGGCGCAGTATTTGCGCTCTGCGTCGCGCCAAAATCACAGAGGGTGAGCGTGTAGTGCCGCCAGTTGTGGCACTACACGGCAGGTTTCTGTGCACAAACCTTGGCAGGCGCAGTATTTCAAAAGGAAACATGGCCACCCCACAGCTTAAAGCCTGCCACGGCTGAAGCTGTGAGGTGGCCACGTTTGTTTGTCAAATACTTGCCACGGGCTAAGCTGTGAGGTGGCCATGTTTGCTTGTCAAAAACTGCCCCTGCCAGGGTTTACGCTGTGTAGTGGCCATGTTAGCTTCTGAATTACTGCGCCTGCCAGCGTGTAAGCTGTCCAGGTTAAGCTGTGAGGTGGCCATGTTTGTTTGTCAAGTACCGCAGGTGTCAGGGTTTAAGTTGTGAGGTGGCCATGTTTGTTTGCAATATTTGCCACAGGTTGAGATGTGTGGTTGTTTACTTCTGAAATGCTGCGCTTGCCAAGGGTTTAAGCTGTGATGTGGCCATGTTTGCTTCTGAAATATTGTGCCTGCGACGGCGTTGTTAGCTGCCAAAGCACTGCGCCTGCCACGGGCTTAAGCTTTTGAAATATTGGGCCTGCCGCTTTAAGAGATCTGTTGAATACGCCCCGCTCCCCAGCGGCAATGCTGCGTCAGTGTGAGATGGACTGAAGGTGTCATATGCTTCTTTACAGCATTCCACCAGTAGCATTGCCGCCGGGGGTGTGGGGGTTCTGCGCTGCCCGCGCAAAAACTAACGGGAGAAAAAATGCAGGATCACATGGAGGTGAGGCCATGGCGGCCACATGGTATCTTCTTTATTTCGCAAGAGAAACGGAACATATCGAGGGACGAAAATATGCATGTGCTTTGAAGTTAAGGTCCCACACGGGGCATGTGTCCACATTTTGGACTGCAGGCTTTCATAAAAGCAATGGATATCTTGGCTGGTGATCATTGCCAGCGTTTTTTGGTTTCAGATCATTCAGTCTTGACGTGTATTATATAGATTCGAGTCCCCGTGAGCCTCGCTTTGTCCTCGTGCCATTACGTTTTGCGTCCGAGGCCTGGCCTCGGGCAGGCCTCGGGCCTCGGGCAGGCCTCGGTGAGCCTCGGAGCGCCTCGAATGCCAACAAACCTGCTTCATCATGGCCCCTAAAACAGGGCCGAAAAAAGTGTTCAAAACATGGCTGCGATAGAGGGACCTCGACAGTAGCAAGCGGCCTTGGGACGCACAAAGAGAAAAAGGTATGTGTTGACATTCATGTTCAGGCTGCTGGGCCGCAAATCTGCTTGCAAAACATTTGCGGGCAGCAACGAAATTCTCCGATGGCTGACCCCATTTTTGGGTCCAAATATGGACCCCAAAATGCCTTCACGGTTCACCGTGGGGACTGTTTGAAGTCGCTTGGCCCTCTGGGGGGCTTGGGTGGGGATCTCGCCCCTCGGTCTCTAGATTCCTGCTTGCTCCCTCTGCTCTGCTCGCTGCCTCCTGCTGGCGTGTCCTCTCCTCCGCGTTGCTTTCTTCTGGGTTTGAGTTTAAAGGTGTAATAGGTTGAGCTTCCAGGTTCAGCGTTAAAAAAAAAAAGAGGGAGGAGAACACTTGTGTGAGTGTGAACCGTTTCAGTTGGTTGCTTCAGTCGCAAATCTGTTCACACGATGTTCGGTTTCTGTTTACCTTTTGATTTCCCATTGTTGTAAAAAAAACACTGAGGGAGATTCAGTCTGATGTCGTTCGAAGAGTTGTGCTGACCACTCCAATTTGTTACGTGTTGCTTGAAGGTTCAAGGGCTAGAGAAATTTTGAACAGTCAGGGACGCGCTGCAATCTTCGACGTATGGCATGGATTGGAATGATGTTCCAGTTAAACAGAGCTTTAGGCAAAGGCTGAAGGAAATCTTTGGTGATTTGAAATACCTGTGGTATTCGTTTGATGATGCGGCTGGTGCCCAAGACCTTTTGCAAGGTATTTTCACAGAGACGGAGTGGGCCGACTTTGGACAGTTGAGTGTTGAGGGACTGGTTGCATGGCATACCAAGTATGGACCACAGGTCAAGAGGCAGCGTATCCTTGACCGAGAATTGAGTTTCGAGTTTTGTGCACATCCCAAACGGGACACAGTAGGCACCATACAAGAAACTTTTGAGCAGATCATGAAGGAGGATCCCCGTTTTATGTTGGATACTATGAAACGTTCCCAGCGTAGGTCTTCAACTGGGGAAGGACCGGAGACGAGAGCGGCCAAAGAACAACAAGAGAGAGACAGATATGCATTAGAACTTGCAGGCATTTTACAGGAGGCCGTTCTGCCGGTGAGTCTCCAGATAGAGGCATTGCAGGATCCGAACAAGGCTTGGCTACGACTGTTTGGTGCAAGGCGGTCAAAGACCTTGAGAAACAGATACAGGTCATGGAACCGTTTTCGCACATGGCTGGTAGCCTACTCAGGTAAGACCTGGCCGGGCGGCTTGGATGTCTTGATACACTACATTGAGGAACATATACAAAATGGGGTTACATTCAGTTTCATTTCAGAATTTCAGGCTGCACTGGTTGTTTTAGAACAGGCTGGACGGATTCCGGAAGGTAAACAGTTGTCGCGGGATCCATTGTGGAAGGCACATATTGAGAGCTGGAAACAGGAACTGGCCACGAACACGTTCCCAAAGGCTGCAAAACCATACACGACAGCAATTTTGTTGGCGCTTGAGCTGTTTGTCATTGAGATGGATCATGAATTCTGTCTGCGGCTAATTGCATGGTGTATGTTGGTTTCAACTTGGGCTGCAATGAGGGTTGACGATTTGCAGAATGTCATGCCGGAATCTGTCAGGCTTAGCAACCGTGGCTTGACACTCAGGATGGCCAGGACGAAGACTACTGGAGGCGCCAAATTGCATGGGCCCATTTGTGCATTTGTTGCCAGAGACATTTCGATCTCTGGATACGACTGGCTTATTGAAGGTTTTCAGATGCTGCAACGTGAGGACCTTATGTTTCCAAGGGATTATTTTATTCCAACACCTGGTAAAGACTGGACTCTGTTTAAGAACTAGATCTTGGAACCACCTTCAATGGCAAATTATTTCAGGATCGTTTTGGGAAAATTGGGAACGCCACGTTTCCAAGATGGATACTGGCGACAGAACAAGGCAATGGACCTGGTGCCGGGGGCCATGCTGCTTTTCTGGTCAGGCCATAGCCCACGTCATTTCCTGACACAGGCGGCAGCATCGTTAGGAGTGGACAAGACTAAGCGGGACTTCCTTGGAAGATGGTCGATAGGACGAACAGGAAGCAATGCATACTTGCATACATCACGTCAAGTGGTGGAAGAGGTTCAGCATTTGGTCAGGGACTCAATTGTGTTGGGAGCCCCAGCGTTGGATGAGTCAGAATTGCTGGAAGATATAATGCATTTTGCAGACAAACATGAGCTGGTGGGGCAGAGAGTCAGGAGGCGCCACACGCATGACTACAAGAGAGCCAATGCTGGTGAGGTTTACGACACGTTTGATTCTGATGTTGAACAGGTAGACGTTCAGGAGAAACAACAGGTCATGGAGGCCGTGCAACGAGAGGCAGGTGAGAACCCAATTCATTTGGGTTATTTCATCACGACGTCGAGGAGGACAGGGTTTAGACGATTACACATGCATGGCAAGTGTCCGGTGCGCTCAGACAGATGCATCGACAGCACAGATGTTGACAATGTTCAGGATGCAGCATATGATGCTATTTGCAAGATTTGTCAACGTAAGATTTCAGAAGAGTTGGGTCGCATGACAACTGACCATGATGCCTCGAGCGATTCAGGCGATTCGTCCTCTACGAACACATCCGGAGACGAGGCAGAGGCTGAAGAGGCCGAGGCTGGAGAGGCATCAGAATGGCAGCCTGTGATTTAGGACAGTTTGCAGTACATGTCAGTTTGTTTTCACCTTCATTTGCACCGTTCTTGTCACCACTTTTGCAATTGCAAGATGGACTGTCCGAGACAGAAGGTTTAGGATGTTTTGCATTTGCAGTTTAAGTTTCATGTCTGCCACATTCACAGAATAGTGGCAATAGGGCGCTGGCGCTAAACGAGCGCAATGGCAGTTTGCAAAGCGATCAACAGATCGTAGACGTTTCAGTGAAAATGCATCGGGTTAGTTGGCGATTCATTTGTCCCGCGTCCTCGGCACTCTCCCCATCTCCTCTTCACACATTTGATTTCAGAGCACAAAGAAAAGTTTCAGTCATGGCGGTCCAAAGACACAGAGAAAGAACAGTTTGGAGAATTGATTTGGGATTCCAGTTTATTTATTTTCGTTGTTGAGGCTCAGAGTTTGAGATGGTTACAGAATTTCAATATGTGACATGTTTCATGTGTTATATTTTTTTTTGTTTGTGTGGTTTGTCCTGCGTCCTCGGCACTCTCCATCCTCCTCTTCACACATGGGAGTTTTAAGAGATAGGAAACAATACAAAACAATTCAGCTTTAGCTTCAGACTCAGCGATGGCAGTGACGGATGATGATCGCAGGGAATACTTGCGAAGCAACGTCACTTCTGATCTGCAGTATGTTTGGGATGATGCCGAAATCCCGCTAGCGCTTCAGTATGAGATGGCCCAGCACTACAAGTCGCTGAGGGTCTTTACAGCCATAGGAGAAAGCTCCGCAGATGTGCGGACTGCAGTCCAAGCCGACTTCAACTTGGACCCAGCAAGAGACCCAGCGCTGCGGGCACAAGTAGCGCAGGTGGTTGCAGCTTGGAATGCAGGAAAAGAGCTATACACCAAAGAGAAAGAGATCCAAGCCGAGAGCAAGGTTCTTGGGGTCCCCCGTCACCTTCAACACAGTGAGAGATTGGCAATGCTTAAGGCAGTCGAAAAGGTCTTAGGCCACCTCTCCGACCACGAGACACCCAGTGCGGAATACCTTGCTTTGAAGGTTGAAGAATGCGAAAATGGAGAATGTACAGCAGCAAGCCTGGATGAAGTGTCTTCCAAGGCTGACCGTAACACATCAGCTCTGCAGACATCACTGGACAGCACGGGCCATGTGAGGATCACCAAAACAAAATCCAAAGGCCGGCTTCCAGAAAGCACAGAAGAATACCGGAGGTTGATGAAATTGGAGGCCACAACATGGCTGTGTATGTCTTCGAAATTCAAGTCAAAGCACTTCTTGGCAGGTTTGAAGATGGAGGACTTCAATCGCTTTGTGGAGTTCGTGCTTGGAGAAAAGGTACATGGTATCAGAGTGCCTATTGATGGACAGCAGCAGCCACTGCGTCCACCCTTTGCCCTGGTGCTGCAATTTGAGCACCGTTTGCGGCGAGAAGCCTTCAAACTGGTCAACAAAGGGGAGAAGACATTGGCAGAGGCCTTGGAGGCCGTTACAAAGGATGCTGAGCTCAAGGAGTCATACTTTACCACCCCTTTGGCTCTGACCAACCACGACCCAAATCGACATGGTGGTCAGCGCTCCTTCAACAACACCTACGACAGCAAGAAGGGCAAGTCGAAGGGGTTTGGCAAAGTGCGAGGCAAATTTGACAAAGGAAAAGGAAAAGCATCAGGCAAGTCGAAAGGAAAACACGGGGACCACCAACTTGTCACCCACTCTCCGGACGGACGTGAAATATGCTTTGCCTTTAACAGCCAAGGCTGTCCGGGCCGGTGCGGCAGACTACACATCTGTCGTATCAAAGGCTGTTATGGTGAACACGCCGCCCGGGAACATGATCGTTGCAAAGATCTTCCAAAGGGCAGCAGCAAAACTGAGTGACAGCCTACAGCAGCACCCACTAGCAAGCCCACATTGCGGGTGCTGTACTTGTTTTGTGGGAAGCCTCGCAAGGCAGACGTCAAGCACTACCTCCAGGAGTTTGGCTTGGAGCACGAATTTTCTTTGCATGTTACGGAGGTCGATGTGGAACGACAGGCCTCAGATGATCTGTTAAACAGTCAACTTTGGGACAACATTTTTCAGGAATTAGAAGCTGGATTATGGGACGTGGTGGTTATGTCACCACCCTGCAACACCTTCAGCAGGGTCCGTTTCAACTGGAAAACCTCGCCTGGCCCACGGCCACTACGCAATTTTAACTGGCCTCGAGGGTTTCCTTGGCTTACAGGTTCAAATTTGCAGCTGGCACAAGATCACAACTATTTGGTGGACCAGACCATCGCCACTGCACACAAATGCTTTCAATGCAATGCAGATTTTCTGATCGAGCATCCCGAAGATTTAGGGGCATGCCATGGTGAATGGCCCGCTAGTATTTGGCAGTGGGAAACTATGCAACAGCTACAGCAAGCCACAAAAGCCACGACTTGGGCAGTTTTCCAGTGTCATTTTGACGCGCCATCGCCCAAGCGTTTCTTTCTACACTCAAGCCTTGCCAAGACCTACCACATGCCACGTGGCCAGTTTTCGACAAAGAACGACAATACTTGGGCCCCTTGCCTACGTTTTGTGGACACTCCACACATGCCAAGCGCCTTTTGGGCCAACTACCCAGCGGGAAGTGGGCCACCGAGGGTTCTGCTGCCTACCCTCCGGCGCTTTGCAAATACCTGGCCGAGCTCATCGCCAGCCGGGTGGGGAGCGCAAGGACCTCTTCACTCGGCCTACATGCTGGGCCCATTACAGAGGCTGAGCCGACAACTACAACCACTACAGTTGCAGCTGGATCAGCATCTACAGTCACCACAGATAGTCTGGACCAACCGGACGACTCAGACACCAACACTCGAGAAGGGCCAGAAGAGGCTCGCAATAGAGGAAAGCCTTTAGTAGTGGAATGGGGCGGACGATCCAAACCATTCGTTGATGGGTTTGGTCTTTGCTCTGCAAATCGCTGGCGCCCAGAGGATAGAGGGGCATACCTTAGCATGGAGGCACAACAGATGGGACGAAAGTTGAAAGAGCTCCTGCAGGAGTTTGTGGTGTCGCAGATCGGCGACCTAAGGAAGGAAGCTTTTCACTTGGCTTTGGGGAGGCTCCAGGGTTCACCGTTTTCAGAAAGTGCGTTGCAGAAACTTAGGGAGAGATGGGCCCAACTTTTGCCATCCCCCTCCAGCGCCATGGAGCTCACGGAGGGCCAACCTTTCTTCCTGCACCTTTTGGCACAAACGCTAGAAGTTATGGAGGACCCTGACTACCAGGTGCTGGTACAAGACAGAGAGTCGTTTGCAACGGGCGTGCCAGTTGGACTAGATGAACCGCTGCCTAGGGTTCCTGCTGTGTTTCCACCAAAGGAGAAACACCGCAAGCTGGACGATTCGGACTATATCCCCTTTTCAGAAAACTATAAGTCGGCGGAGCTGGTAGCAGAGGAGTTGGAGAACAAATTTAGAGAAGAAGAAAGGCTGGGGAGGATGTACCCGACCACGCTGGCGGCCTTGAAAGCAAAACACCCTGACCGGGAAGTGCTGGTGGCTTCCATGGGGGCCATACAGAAACCCAACGGTGACATCCGTCCCATACACGATGCCACCCACCATGTTCAGCTCAACAACAGGATAGTTTTCAGAGACCAATTACAATACCCTGTGCCGGAAGACGCGGCTGGTGTCATACGGGAGGTGACCGAGACCAGGGAGGCCAGGTTTTCCATTTCAGCTGATATCAAGTCGGCGCATAGACTGGTGAAATTGCGGAGCAGGGATCACCCTCTCATTTGCTGCAAGGCTTCTTCGACATCCGACACCATCTGGGTCAACAAGGTGGGAACCTTTGGCGTTTCAAGCGCCTCCTATTGGTGGACGCGGCTCATGGGAACAGTTGGAAGGCTGGTGGGCAATGCTATGGGGACTGAATGCAACTACCAGCTCATCTACGTAGATGATTTGCATGTTGTGGTTTTCGGGGAACGCAAGTTCCTGACCTTGTGGATGATGCTGGCAGCCTATGAGGCTTTGGGCACCCCTTTCCAGTATGCGAAGTTCGCTGGGGGGATAGAAGTAACGTTTGTGGGTTTTCAGCTGGACTATGGACGTTGCAAGATGGGAGTGACGGCCAAGCGAGGCCTTTGGTTGCTGAATTTCATAAAGGAGATGGAAGAAGCACGCTACACAGTGCACATGCGCCGCTTTGGGGAATTCCTTGGGAGACTCGCTTTCCTTGCCCGAGTCCTGGTCTGGCTGAAGGCGCACCTGGCACCCTTGTATAGCTGGGCAGCCGCTCTGGCCAAAGGAACGGTCGCCACGGCACCGCGCATGGTGGTCCTGGTTCTCAAATTCATTTCCAGGCAACTTGCAGACTGCAGCTTTATGTATTCATGCCATAGGCCCATCCGTTTGCTGGAAGAACAGTTTAGGACAGATGCGAAGTGTGCTCAAGGGGTTGTCGTTTTGGGCGGGCACCACCTGGCTACGGGCCGCTGGTTTTCACTTCGTTTGGAGCCCGAACAGGCGCCTTACCTGTTCAAGCCTGATGGAGAGAGCAGCTGGGCTTCAGCGCCAGCGGAGTTGCTGGCCACCACCGTGGCACTTGTTTTGTTCAACTATGGAGAAGGGAGAGAAAGAATGACCGTTCCAGTTTACTTGGCAGCAGGCACGGACAACCAGTCGAATGAGGCCCTTCTCCAGAAGGGAAGTTCTACTAAGTTTCCACTGGCTTTGATCAACATGCAGTTGACGCACATGCTCATGCGTTGGGGGATGCGGCTGGAGCTGCGATGGCGTCCCCGGGCCGAAAACGATCTAGCCGACAAGCTTACCAATGAGGACTTCAGCCAGGTGGAAACGAAACTGCGTTTGGAGTGCAAGTGGGAAGATTTCGATTTTAGCCTGCTGCGCGAGCTTTGGGAAGCGAGACATGAGTTCATGGACAAGGACTCGTTGAGGAAGTTTGCAAAACATGTTGGAAGTGCGAAGTTTGAGAAAACTCAGTGGTGAGGGTCAGTTTCAGTGTCAGGCCCCTCGCTACGGGGGGGGCGCAAAGTTTACTCAGAGCCTGACATGAGGCCAAAATATATATGCAGGTGAATATCACCACCAGCCTGAAGGATCAGTTCAGGGATTCAGTTCCAAATCCACGCGACAAAAAAGGGTGGCTGACTGATTCACCGCATTTCAATTTTCACTGAGCAACTGCAATTCACATGTCATGTCATTTCTGTTGGTGGTAGTTTTAGTTTTGCTGGTTTTGGTTTTAGGGTTTTGTTTATTTAGGGCTTTCCCCCTTTTAGGTTCTGTTGCGTAGGCCGCGTTCGCGTTTTCCGTTTCTTGGAAGTTTTGACTGGGCTCAAGGGATGGAGAACAGGCCTTCACGGTTCACCGTGGGGACTGTTTGAAGTCGCTTGGCCCTCTGGGGGGCTTGGGTGGGGATCTCGCCCCTCGGTCTCTAGATTCCTGCTTGGTCCCTCTGCTCTGCTCGCTGCCTCCTGCTGGCGTGTCCTCTCCTCCGCGTTGCTTTCTTCTGGGTTTGAGTTTAAAGGTGTAATAGGTTGAGCTTCCAGGTTCAGCGTTTAAAAAAAAAAGAGGGAGGAGAACACTTGTGTGAGTGTGAACCGTTTCAGTTGGTTGCTTCAGTCGCAAATCTGTTCACACGTTGTTCGGTTTCTGTTTACCTTTTGATTTCCCATTGTTGTAAAAAAACACTGAGGGAGATTCAGTCTGATGTCGTTCGAAGAGTTGTGCTGACCACTCCAATTTGTTACGTGTTGCTTGAAGGTTCAAGGGCTAGAGAAATTTTGAACACCCGCCCTCCCAAAACCCTGGGAATTGAGGTGATTTATATGCTCTCTACGAGTCCACGGGGCTTCATTGTTTATTCTGACCTTTGCCGACGACAACAGCATCGTCTTTCGGTATTTCATATTCTCAGTGCTTCTGCCCTCTCTTTCATTGCGGGCAGTGCGAGTTGTTTCTGGTGGCTCCTTTCATTGACAATGACACCGTTATTTCAAATGCTCCACCTTTATGCCACCCTGATCCTTTTACATCAGAAGGCTTGGACACTTCGACATTACCTGGATGAACGAGAAGACTATTTTGAAGAGACAGGGTCTTTCTATCACCCTGCTATTATGGCCCTGGCACGGACACACTTGGACTCACTGATTTCGTGGTGCCACCGCTCTCTGGTTTTCATTCATCGAGCTCTTATTTCCTCCTCTAAAGATTTGACTTGAGGGGGCGCAAAGTTTACTCAGAGCCTGACATGAGGCCAAAATATATATGCAGGTGAATATCACCACCAGCCTGAAGGATCAGTTCAGGGATTCAGTTCCAAATCCACGCGACAAAAAAGGGTGGCTGACTGATTCACCGCATTTCAATTTTCACTGAGCAACTGCAATTCACATGTCATGTCATTTCTGTTGGTGGTAGTTTTAGTTTTGCTGGTTTTGGTTTTAGGGTTTTGTTTATTTAGGGCTTTCCCCCTTTTAGGTTCTGTTGCGTAGGCCGCGTTCGGGTTTTCCGTTTCTTGGAAGTTTTGACTGGGCTCAAGGGATGGAGAACAGGGGGTCCAGAATTGGATCACATTTTCATTCCTTCTTTTAGGTCTTTGCTTGGGCCCCGTTTTGGGGTCCAGATTTGGACCCAAAAGTGGGGCCAGCCATCGGAAAATTTTGCTGCTGCCCGCAGATGTTTTGCAAGCAGATTTGCGACGCACTAGCATGATCGTAAGCGTTAACACATGCTTTTTCTCTCTGTGCGTCCCAATTTGTTTCTTGTACAGTCGAGGTCCCGTTATGGCCGCCATGTTTCTACTAGTTTTTTGGATCCTGTTTTCGGGGCCATGATGAAGCAGGCTTGTCGCCAAACACTAAAGTCTTTGGCTGCTGAATGTCTTGTTGGCGTTCGTTTGGGGCTGCTGAATTTCTTGACTCCTGTCTGCGTGGACTGATTGTTTTGGTTGCTTGCATTTGGTGCAGGTGGCTGTTTGTTTTGGACAGATGTCGTTGACACACTTCCTAGATCTGGGTTGGTGGGTTGGTGCCTAGAAAGTGTATTTTTTGCTGATGAACACAGCTACAGTTTTTATCCCGCACCCGCTGTCAATTTGGGAATAGACCGAGAGGGGACAGCGAAAAGCCAAGACGGTCAACAAAAAGGAACATTGGCCCATGTAAAGCGTCTCTGCTGGCTGGCGAAGCGCATATCTGGCTGGGGGATCTGCGTTTCGCCCTTTGTGGTTTGTGTTTGTGGTTTTTTGTGCTGTTGATTTGCCATCCTACATGACCACAGGTGTCCATGTAGATGTTATTTTAAACTGCTTCTTCTCATGTAAGGACCAAGCCTCAGAGCGTGATCGGCCGTACCGGAGGAAAAAATCCTCAAGGCTGCACTTCAATACGCCGTGGTTTATTGGCGTCCCAACGCCTGATGTAGTGTTGCCAGCTCAGTTGTCGCAGTGGGGAGTTCAAGGAGCTGCAACAATACGGCAGCGGTCAAACCTTTTTGTTCTTGAGAAAAAACTGGAGCCACTACACCTGGAAGCATATCCGGAACCATGGCCAAAAATTTTCTCTGCAAAATCGGATGTCCATTCCGATTTGTGAACTTTCTCCATTTGACTTGACGAAAAAGGGCCGCATCGAATTGACACTCATTGGATGTCGCAGTTGTCCTTGTTTGCATTTCCAATTTTTCGTGGTGCAATTTTCATTGAATTTTTCCGTGAACCGTTTTTCGACGGTCAGAATATATGTCAGTACGACGTATCGCGTGCGCTTGGTTATATATCCCTTCTCCTCGCGTATTGCGTTTTTAATCTACACTTTTCTGTCTCCCTGTCATGCCTTTATCCTGCCTCGTTTTTTTGGCAGAAACAACAAACAGTTACGTTTTTAACCTGTTTGTTCCTGTCATTGTCAAACACTCGACAAACGTCACAAACAAACATGATTTGTTTTCTTGGCAGTTTGAGATTAATTTTAAATCTCGCCTTTCGATCAAGTGGGCCAAAATACCCACTCAAAAGCACAGGGAATCCTTTCCAGTTTTGTTTGCCCACCTAAAACCTGGGAAACCCACGTTTTCTCCCGCCCGGGGAGTTTAAGGAGCTGCAACTATATGGCAGCGGTCAAACCTTTTTGTTCTTGAGAAAAAACTAGAGCCACTACACCTGGAAGCATATCCAGAACCATGGCCAAAAATTTTCTCTGCAAAATCGGATGTCCATTCCGATTTGTGAACTTTCCCCATTTGACTCGAGCAGTTGTTCTGGTGACGGAAAAGGGCCGCATTGACACTCATTGGATGTCGCAGTTGTCCTTGTTTGCATTTCCAATTTTTCGTGGTGCAATTTTCATTGAATTTTTCCGTGAACCGTTTTTCGACGGTCAGAATATATGTCAGTACGACGTATCGCGTGCGCTTGGTTATATATCCCTTCTCCTCGCGTATTGCGTTTTTAATCTACACTTTTCTGTGTCCCTTTTCTCAAACCCTTTGTTGTTGGCAGTTCCACTGTCCATTGGCCCCCAAAAATAATATCTAAGAGGCACATATGTTTCAATGTGCTTATTTATTCCTGAATTGTGTGTACTTACATTTATGGTCCTTTACCTTGTGACTCTGATGTATTCACTTAGCTGCATTCAATAAGAACAACATTTTTCACAAGGAGACTCTTAAACTATATATATATATATACCAGTAGTACCGCACAAGGCGGTGGCGGAAGTTTCAAAAATAGGAAACCTATAGGAGAGGTTGGTTGTTGTGAATCAGGGAAGGCAGAGCGAAGCCACTCATGGATCGAAAGGTGATTGATCTCTCTCACTATTCTCTCTTTCTCTGACTATCTACCTACCTACCTACCTATC